ATTTCTATTTTGCTAAGCGTGAACTTCATGGCCAGCAGTTTTTATTTAGAATACAGCCTTTATCTACTTATAGACTTGGGGTGGGCAACAACGTCTAGCAACCACACAAAGAAAAAGTACGCAGGTATTGAGGTTATATCCAGCTTGCACCAATCTCGGCGGGGATTTATTTGTCATGCTAGGTTGCAGTAAACCAACAGCTGCTTCTATATATACGAATGTATAGTATGTCCGAACTCTATCCCTGACTGGTTTTCATCTGTCTCAGTTGAAGGTCTGGAAAAGATTGTCGGACTGTGTTGTTCGTGGTCTCTTCGCTTTTAGTTTGGTGTTGTTATTATTTCCACTGCGATGCACTGAGATTTCTGCTCGCTGTACTGTTAGGTGTGAGGAGTGTATTTTAAGTAATTCTATCAGATGAAAAGGTTAATTCCCCGCTTCACAGTCACAGTTGAGCAAGTGTTAAGGCAATGCAACGATCCATATAACAAAGGGTGGTGAAGTAGCCTTGTAGACGGTTAGGAAATGATCGCTGTACTCGTTTCAACGCCATACCCACACCCACTGTAGAGTTACAGCAGATGATAGAGCCATAAGCAACTAATGAACGTGTTTTGATGTTATACATAGTGTTAATTGATGCTTTCAAGTTGAATATTTTGAACAGAAGCCCAATGCTCCGACGGGCTCCAGCTGCAATATGTGTGGTATGTTCGGCAACATTAAGCGTGCCTGAGTAGCAGACCACTAGGTAACGGATAGTGTGGTAGTGAGACAAGGGTTTACCATCAATAGTATGGGAACCGGGTATGACGTCACAACTGTAGAAGACTAAGTGGCACTTAGCAGCAGAGAATGGCATCAGCCAGTCGGAGCTCCAGGAGACGAGCACAATTAAGTTACACTGGATTTCGCTTAGCATTATACTGACCTCCGTTAGATTCAAAGTGTAAAGCTTTTTAAGGTCATCGGCAAATGGGAAAGGTTTGTCGGAGGTTGAGAAGTTAAAAATATCATTTACGTATAGTAGGAATAAAATGGGTCCCAGAATACCACCTAGCAACACGTCACTGGCTTGGGCTTGCTTGTTTCGTGTTGAACTTTAACGGCTTGAATTCTGTTGGTGAGGTACGAACCAGACCACGATAACAGAGGGTTATCTACGCAATGTGTAGTTAGTTTGGATACAAGGTAGTTATGCGGAACAAGAGCAACGGCCTCGTGCATACCGAGCTAGATAACCATTGCCGATGAATCACCGTTCAGCCCACTAGTCAGAAGATTGAGAAACTCGGCCTGACATGTGATGCAGGAGCCCGCAGTTAGGAAATGGTGTTGTGAGGTGTTGGTAAGATTTCGCATCAACACGCAGTCAAAAGGTTTGGAGTTTATGTGACGCACTATCCCTCTAGAAAGTATAGACGTATGGCCTATTGGGCGGTAGTTTCTCAGTTCATACGCAGAGTCTGACTTGTAGCGAAGGTGACTGCAGTCTTCTTCCATTGTGACGGCACAGTACCTACCTTCATGTACACGGAAAAACGATTCAGTAGCAGTACAGGGACGTCAGATCCACTGCCTTATATCAGTGTTGGAGGGAAATTGTCAAGCATAGCATACCATGCTAATTTACTTGAGGAAATAAGCCAATTTATACCACGGAGTTCAAAGGCAACAGTGCAGCGTTTGTCATCCGTAAGCAGTGGGAGGATTTGCGAGGTAACCCTAGCAGCGGCTTTAAATATAGCCCAAAAATGCTAATTAAGCGCGCTCATTTATAATAGTTGGATTGCTAGTTATTTGGTTTCCATGAATCAAGATATTTCGGTTTCCTTACCCTTGTTTCTATTTTTCAGCAGCTTGGTGCTTTCAAGGTTTTAATATGGCTACTGGACGCGTGTCTTTCAGCATTCATACTCCTGATAAGCCGAAGTCTTTCAGGTTTTGGGTTGGCTGTTTGCAGTTTCGCAAACCAACCATCCTGCTTCATCTGTAGGTTCTAGACGTTACCTGTGGCGCTCAGCATGCGTTTCGGAGACCATGCTCGTGTAGCTCAAACTTGCTAGTTGCCAGAGAAAGTGGACGAGCTCAGTTAACGCCGGCCAACGACTTGGTGTTGTTTATGTTGACCTAAGCATAGCGGTTGAAAGGTCCCGCTCCTTTTTAAAAGTCGAGTAATGTGTGTTTCTGAGAACTTTCTTTATTTGATCTCCAATTTTCCGGATGGGAATGCCGTATAGATGAACGTGTAAAGGTACTCCGTCTTTGTGCCTAGGACCAGAGTCGTTACACAAAGGTCAACCTTTGCCCTGAATACTACAAAATCATCAACAAGTACTTTCCCGTTATCCTTCAGATGAAACGTTTAGTCTAGATGACCTGACACCATGAATGGAGATATCTAGACTGGATGCGGCCGATATACTACGCTCATAGGTCGACCGCCCAACCTAGAGCAATTGTCATTGAAACTCGAAAATGCTCAGTTTTTCCATCTGCACTTCTGAACCGTTCGGGACTTATCATATTGGTGGGTTTCTGCTCAGAAATGGTGGTCTATAGGGTGGCCTTGGCATACTTTTGTCTCATGAGTTATGGTTAACTCAGAACACCTAGAAAGGTGTCGTCGCTGCCAGCGGGGTGTCCTTTGCTATACAAACAGCCTTCTGCCGATTGACGCCAGAGACCTTCAAGCTTAAATAAATAAATAAATAAATAGGTATATTTCTAGACCTGATAGAGGCTGCACCCTAAAGGGTTCAGCTCAATGCTTACATTTATCCGATGCTCTTGCATGGAAGTTGGCAAAATATATGTTCATCGTTAGCAATTGCCAATGCATTGGCACTGTTTAGTATACAGATACTGGGTCGCAGGCGCCCACCTTGACATTTTTCTGGTTCCTTCGGGCGATATTGAGCTCCTTGTATTTTATTGTGAATACTTCGTGGAGGTGTAGTTTGCCTTTTCTCCTTGGAACAGAATCCAATTTGCCACAAGTTCACTTTTCGCGTCCCACCTAGGGTTGATTCTCGAGTACGGATTGTTTGCCGCCTATCCTATCACGAAGGCTGAACGCAGCCTGATTGCAAAGATTCAGCGACGCCGAACGAAGAAGGCTTTGGAGCAGCGGAGTCTCTCTTATGCCATTCGGCTTAGGCCCATGAACCTATTCCCCCTGGATTATTGTAGCCGCGATGGTGAGCTGATGTTCACTCGACGTACTCTATGTGGGTGGCTGGGAGCTGCAATTCTAGAGACCCATCGGCTGGGCTCTGAGAGCGTGCTTCGTGAGCATAGCTGGAAACTGGTTAACCTGTGTTGCCTTCGAGTAACTACTAAATTTGCTCTGTCTACTAGTGTGGTAGAAGGGTGGAACATCCTGCCCCAGCAAGTTGTGGATACACACACTGGGAAGTTTCAGACGACTGTTGGGTTTCCATCGGACCTGGGAGTCATGCTGTTGTCACTACAACAGTCACGTCCTCTTTGGGAACCCGTTTCTCAACAAATAGGGGCGTACGCACGGGGATCGGGAAGGGTTGGAGCTGACAAAGTGTTTCCTTGCTCCCCCTACAACCCAATGGGGCCAAGGAAACCTGGCTGTAATTTGTGATTCCTTTTAGCTTCAGCACGCTCACGCAGCACTTTATTAGTTCCTGGCTTAATGAACTGCACAAGAAGGAACATCACTGGAAATATCCTTTCGTTCCAGTCCAACTTGAGCTTGCGCTTGAACTAACGCTTATATACTAAAAATCGGCAGTTGCTCATTAAAACCAAGCATTGTGTGCTTGATAACTCGAAATTGTTGTTGTGGTAAACTGATGTGCATATTTAAAAACCAGTCGATTGCGTTTGCAGACCACAGATTTTCATGGCCATTCAGATTGCAAAATGCTTGACGACTTTTGACGTGCATCCCTTATAAAGTTCGCGTGGAGAACTCAGTTTCTTACGGGCAAATGACTAAAATTAAGTGGCTCACATTAAGGCATCCTGAACACTCATATTTTAGTTATCCATAGATATCTGGCCCAACGATATATATAGAATATTGCGACCCCAACTAGAATATTGCGTCCAGGCCTGTCCACCATGCCTTGTCCGGGACAAAATGGCACTAGAAAGGGTGTTGCGTGTCGGTACTAGGTTGGCCAAGGGATTACGAGGGCAAACGTACCCCGAACGCCTACTTAGCTTGGGGATGCAGTCAATACACTATCGAAGGATTAGAGGGGACCTAATCCTAACCTACCGTATTTTGACTGGGATGGTTGGCCCTAATTTGTCCATGCTATTTAGTCCTGCTAGATTATCTGGTCTCCGCGGACGTTGTATGAAGCTGGACAAACCGCGGTCCGATCGATTTAGAGCGGAGTCACGGTTATCACGTCGAGTCATCGAGCGCGGGAACCTGCTTCCAGAACATGTTGTCAAGGAATCTACGGTTAAGGGGCTTGAGCATCAACTAGACGCTCGTGGGTGGCAACACGAAACCTTTCCTTTTTCCTGACTAATTCCCATCTTCATACTTCGATTCTAGTTTGTTTACTTTTCCTTGCCATTGGTATTATTCTCTTCTTTTAACTGATTTTCCCTACTCTCTTCGCTTTTTCTTCCTCTCTTACTTACTTCGCGTAACTGACAGCTGGGACAGCTAATGTAAGGAACGTGGGCATTAAATTGGCGGACCAGGGTGTTTTTCGGATGTTTTCCTTTCAGACCCATCAAAAAGTCGGAGCACCCCTGTCAACTCCTGGATCGACGACCCGCTCAAGAAGGAACACTTACGGGATTCATCCTATCATTCCAGTCCCAATTGAACTTGAAGTTGAACTTGAACTTCTTTAAGGAGCTTACTGAAAATATTGTATCCAATACAGTAATCACAGCCATTGTTATCAGCGTTTACATACAACCTGACCATTAAGGTTCTCCGACCTTATCCTGGCAATAAAGTGCATGTCCGCATGAAGTCCAAGGCCTCGAGCTAAGTCGATTAGTTGCCGGGTCTTTCAAAATTAGCCAAACGTGACCTTGGCAATGCTGCGGGAGGTCACGGATGCCATTAGCGAGACTACTGCGTGGGTTTTCTCAAGTTCAAGTTCCTGAGGTTTTTATTTCAGTGACAATAGGTTGTCCTCAGGAATTTCTGTCCATAAATGTCCCCGAATTTCCTGCAATGGATTTGCAGTCCCGCCTTTAATGCGTTGTACCTCATGCCAACAAGTGTGTAAAATCGATGGCGAAGTTCTACAGATGAGTGGAAACTCATCGGATGTCATCCCTCCCTTGAAACACGCGCGTCTGTCTTTTCGACATCTTGCTGTCCCTATTCTTATCGTGAGCGTAGGCAAATGCGGTATCTTTGATGCTCGCCACGGCCCCTGCGTCATAACTTCTTCGACATTAACATTCAAAGCAAAGGTTGAGGGTAACTATTATAGCTTTTTATTACTTGTTTCAATAGGAGAGTGGTCACTCGTGTGCGTAAAGCCGTCGGACATCCAGGCACTGGTGTTCTGTGAAGAATTGCAAGTTATATTCTTGAAACCGCGTGAAACTTTCAAATATTCTCTCACTGCACTCCTCAAGTTAAACGCTTCTCGCACTTACGACCCAGGTAAATACTGACTTTTTAATTAGCACCCATGCTAATTTGGTAATATTTCGGGTCCAATTCGCCACGTGTTCTGTTCTGTTCGGTTGGACAACTGGACACCGAAGTGCGGTGGATCTGGGTTCCATAACTTACTTCACTATATTAACGATACATAACGATGATACTAAAATAAAACCGAACGCAACTAGAATACAAAGAAAATTGAATCAAGGAAGAAATGCGCCAAATTAATCAGGACGCAACGTTAGATGCCACAGGCCTAATGCAGGGAAGCCACTGACTGCGCGATTTCTGATAGATTCTCTAACCACTAGTCTGGACCATACTGAAACCCGCATTCACGTAAAAGGCACGCTTCGGTCTGGTCACCTCCATGAGTTAATCTTTATGCTCCATACTTGACTGATGCGCCGCGCGACCCGAACTGAACCAGTTATTCGGTCTGATATAACAGGCAGCAGAAGTTCTGATGTTTGCGAGACCATACGTGACAAGGGTAAACAGCTGATCTACAGCCTGTCAAAATGCTTGGGACGTTGAGCCGAACAATTTGGAAGACAATTTAACCAACGTGGCTTATCGCTTTTTCTTTCGGATATTGAGTGCCTTTCTCCATGGGCTGTCTCCTTGGATCCGCCCTCACGCGCAGCATTCGAACGTGAGATCAGGCTGATGAAATTATATAAGGCCGCAGTGGCAGATAGAATTCCCCCAGCCCTCTTCAATTTCGGGGGCCCTGCTCTACTAGATGAGTTACATGAGTTGCTAGTGAAACTTTGGGAGCAGGAGACTGTCCCAACAGACTGGAGCCACTCCGTCATTGTCCCAATTTTCAAGGGAAACTCCCGTTTGGAATGTGGCAATCATGGAGGGATCAGAATGATTTCAATTGCCTCTAAATTGCTTGCGTCTGTCATTCTGCGCAGACTGACTGGCACTTGTGAAACCCAGATTCGTGAAGAGCAAGCCAGGTTTCGTCGAGATCGGGGCTACATCTACCACATCTTCGCCTTGCGTCAATTGTTGGGGCATCACCATGTTTATTGGCGACCCACCGTTGTGTTTCTTGAATAAAAGGTGCCTTCGACAGTCGATCGACGTACCCTTTGGGACTGTCTGCTGAGAAGAGATGTGCCCGATAAATAAGTAAACATTATCAAAGCGCTGTACACGCATAGTTCGGGCAGAGTGAGGGTTTATGGCACTGTCGCCACCCGCAGTGTGAGACAAGGTTGCCTGCTGTCACTATTCCTCTTTAACTTCCCTATCGCTGAAGTCATGAAGACAGCGTTCGCTGGACACAACCTAGAAGGTGAGTGACTTCTTGACGTGGAGTACGCGGATGATGTTGCCCTAATCTGTGACAGCTCCCAAACATGCCAAACAGCACTAGACCGGTTAGCACTGGTTGTCAATGATTTTTGGGCTATGCCCTGCTCCATCGAAATTTAAAGCACTTCTCCAAGATTAACAGGGACACCTCTGCGCCAACGCGTTGTGTTGATCTGCTAAAAGTCCTTCAGGAATTCAAGTACGTAGGCAGCTATATTAGCGCCCGTTGAGTCGAAGACGAGGTTACGAACCGTATAGAAAAATCTCGAGGTGCATTTGCCATTCTCCGCCACCTGTGGCGCAGACGTGACATTACTCTCGCCCTGAAGTGCAGAGTTTATGACGCAGCCGTCCGTTCAACTCTCCTATGTGATTTTGAAACCTGGCCCAATAGGTTAACAGACATAAAGAGGATAGCCACATCCGACAGTCGCTGCCTTAGCAGCTTAGCTCATGTCTGGGGGAGGGGGGAAGCGCCGCCTGAGCATTGAGCGAGTTCGGCATCGCGCAGTAAGAGCTAGTGAGCCGCTCAGTACCATCATATCACGCACCAGGCTCCGATGGCTTGGCCACGTGTTGCGCATGCCAGCACACCGACTCGTGCGACGTGCATTGTTTGCGCGCCGGGGGTGCGGTTAGAAGAGGAGAAGGCCAAGCGATGACTTGGTCAAGAGAGATGAAAACCCTCACTTCGAAGTTGGCGTCGGTTGGTGCATCCCGACTACCTGGCTGGGGTCCTAAGAACGATGAAAACATTTGCTTGGACACGCTTGCTTATATGGCTAGGAGCCGGCCCCAGTGGTGTTTGTGTTGTGAGTTCCTTTGTCCATCCCCCTCCTGCTTAGCCCCACCCTCCAATCACGATCGCATTCGTTAGGCATAACTTTTTGCGGTACGATAGCTGATTGTTGGATCTCCGGAACGATGTCCATCCGTTACTGGGGACTCAGCCGGCGTGCCACTGTTTTTTTTCTTCTTGTCCTTTGTATTGCGGCACAATAGCTGAGGTGTTTTCCACCTGCAGCTAACGTGTATACTGATGATGATGATGTGTTGCCACTGCGTCATAAATCGTATTCTACCTTGTGAATTTGCTGTTGTCACCATTATCGTTTCATCTCCCGGATATCACTGTACTATTTCAGCGCTAGCCGGTAGATCATCTCTTATGTTCCTAAGTTGAGTAATACATCAACCGAATTTCCATGGGTATCTTGCATTGATCATCTCGTATCAGTATATTGATGGATTGATAGATTTCTTTAGATGTATCGATAGACATCCTGAATCTGTCACCTGTCGCTCTCGGGATTCAGTCCATTTCCACCGACTAAGCACGGTTAGGGGTTATTGTTGGTAGCTTTGGATCACCGGCAGTATGCCAACTTTTAGACATGTGAATTTTATTCCATTGTGGCATTACCCATTTGGGATCAGCAATGTTTGATCGACCCACTCGTAATGGTTGGGCACTTATTAGCCAAATTACATTTGACAGGCTAGCTTCCATAGTGCTTATCCGCGTAGGGATGGGTCTCCTCACGGTATGTTCAGCCCGCGTGGGACTGGTGGTAGTCGCACGGCAGCGAAGCGCCGTTACGGTATACAGTTGACACATTATCATTATTTACCATAGTGTTTACTAAGGGGATAAATGAGCAGCACAATTTTCGATTCAGTGAGACGCTGCGACCGGTAGTGGATACGTATAACTTAGTGCTCTCGTTAATGAAGGCCATAAGCGTTTCAATGTCCATGTATCAGCTTGTCATTCGATGATAGGTTGTTTAACACTATTTTACCATCACTTATTGCATGATCCAGGAACTATCGATGCCTACAAGCCTTAACTGTTTTTGGTGTTTTCCACTCGGGAATCAACCTTCCCACTGACTTCTCTGGTAAGTTTGAACCATGTACGCCGGTTAAGTCGCCCTGTTCGCGTACTCGACGACGGACTATTTCGGCACTACTTATTTTCCGTGGCTACATCTTGGACGTAGCTTATGACTGGCTAGCGAATAATATGATAAACGAAAGCGCAATGTCTTGCGAAATAACCTTGCTAATTAGTTCGACAGTGTCTGCTTAATAATTAGAGCTCCACTACATTTTTTACACCTGCCGCTTATTCTGTTCTGTCACTTCGCGTCTTCCATTGGGTCTTCAATTAACTATTTGCTCTTTAACCACCATTTTCATCATTGCCATGTACTACTATCACGGTGACTGGATTCAGAGGATTAAATCCACAAGTCCTCTTTTCCTTTTACCTTTCCAGTGTATTGTGACACAATAGCAGTTCCTCTAACCCACGGTTATAGTCTAATTGCTGAATTGTTTTTTCTAGCCCAGTTTTAATCATTGTGTTCGAAAACTTGTAGTCTGTGCGGTAATGAACGCGGTTGATTTATCGGTTGGTACACTCTGATCCCATAGTGTCTTTGCATAACTGCAAGTCGACGCGTACGATTAGCTAAAGTTCTCTAAGGGTATTTACATGCATTATAAAACTTAGTTACCGCAACTGTTCGCACCTTACCCTTTAAGCATTTCACTTTCGCTTTTTTCTTTTTTCTCAATTGTATACTGTTTTCACCATTATTATAAGGGGGATGCCGTTCACGGTTACGTGATCCATCGACCCTGCATGGACCATCCGGTCAGCACATCCATGGTAATAAACTCCGTGCCGTAGGCCTTGATCGGATCCCTGCAGTAGTTTACAGACACTTTCGAATTGAACCAACTCACCGCTTTATGAGCCAGTTACTTAACTTTGAGAATGGATGCAAGAACTGTCATACGCAGTACTCTCTCATGGTGAGCAGTCAAGACCACCGAACTCCGTCGTTACGACCCTTTGTTTTTGCCACCCAGTTTCTCGTTTATCGCGGATCCATTTCTCTTGCTTTTCCCAGTAGCTAGCTTCTCGATTGGGCAGCTAATCTCAGCGGGATACTTCTAGGAAGTCATCAGCAGTACGCCGGTACGCAATACCGACGCTTCACCACCGCACGTCTACCAATAGTCGCGCTTGGGTAGCGGATACTGCGTGGGTCGCCCGGTCCCTATGTAGGCTCTGACCCGCCCTCTCGTATTACAAGACAGACTTGTGCTCCTTAAGCCTACGGTCCGGAAGCTGCATCTCACCTTCTGCCCATCTGATACGCCAACATTCATGGGATTAATATCTTCAGATGAAGGACTTTCGACCTGCACCCCCTTTTAAATGTTCCGGAAGGCGCGTGGTATTCAGCTGATTCCCCTTATCTCATCTGCTTAGAATTATCCTTTGGCAGCTCACCGAATCATGATAATGCAGGGCTGATGTGTGCCGCGGTAGAGTAAGCTTTGTCATTTACTCTACCATAGCCTTTGTTTCCGTAACACGCGCTTATTTACGCCAGTCTGTCTTTATATCACTCAACATCATTAACAACATCAGTACACCAGCCATTTGAACTGATGCTTCGCTGCCGTACAACCCTGATGATCTAAGGAATAAAGGATAATAAGAGGGAGAGAAGGGGGACATACCTGAAAATCTTGATGCCCTAAGCAAATATTTAGGGTCAAAGCGCCTACACTTTGTGTTAGCAACATACCGTCACAAACAACTGGCTATGGTGCAAAGATAAGGCGGCATCGGCGAGACAGCTTACTTG